AAAGGAGCTCAGGCCTCCCTCCGCCTGCCTGTGGAAGGAGCTTTGCCGCAACCTGTCTGAGTCCATCTGTCCGTCCCCTCCTGCCTGCCCCTCTTCTGGTGGCTCTAGGAATTCGAGTCCAGCAGAGATCAAAGGAAAGGAGGAGGTGTCTGGGGCCTGGTGCAGTGACTGCAGACCCCCAGGGCACCTTGCTCCATGGGGCTGCCACAGCGAGTTTGGGAACTTCTGGGGGACCGGAAAGAAGTTTGTCATCTCTGTTTTGGCAGAGGAGCTGTGGGGTCCTGATTCTCTAGAACCTGAGCCCTGAGAGCTCCCCATTTCTGCATTTTGGAGGTGCTGGGTTGGAGGGGAGGCTAAGGAAAGCCAGGCTGGGACTGGGGGTGCCAAGGTAAGGGTCTCCTAAATAGGAGAATCCCTCTCTGTTGGATGAGGTCAAAGGTCATCTTATCTACTCCTCTGCCTCCAGGCTGGGAACCTGGGGAGGGGATGGAGTTCCTCTATTTTAGTCTTTTTCAACAAACCATCCAGTAGTAAGGGCAGGACCTGCTGCCTTGCCCTCAGTGACCTTGGCTCAAGGCAACATGGTTGTAGGAGAGAGAGGCCAGAGGAAGTATGAATGCAGGAACTGGGGGCTGGCTCTCAAGCAGCCCTGGGTAGCTGTCTTCCCGCCCTGGCCCTCCCTAGGGCCTGCAGGAGCCCTTTTGCATGCTGGGGAGGACGAAGGCTGGCCTGTCTTCATAGAAGCACATTCTTGCCACCTCCCCTGGGAGGCACCCAGCAGCCCGCCATCCCTCTTGACCCACTCCCTGCTGTGTAGGGCGTAGTCCAGGTTAGCTGGGTAGAGTTAGTGTTCCAAGCCCTGGGGCCTGCCCTTAGCTCACACATAGTCCTAACACAGTCCCAGGACAGGGCGGAGAGGAGACACAAATACATTCCAGGAGATGGCAGTTTCTTTGCTGGCTGGGGCCCAGATCGGGCAGCCTGGTTCATGAGGGCCAGCCCCTCCTTCTCCCCCCCCTTCCCCTGTAGGGTCATAGCTGGGGCTGCCCATTATACTCAAACATTCTGATTTATTATCCTTGGTACTGGTTTTATTTATGAAGCACCTGTGGGGACGGCTGGGCCTTGGTGGAGGGGCCTGGACTCCATTGGAGGGCGTAGTTTCTGCTGAGGATGGCCGGGTTGTGTTTGGCCCCGCCCTGGGCGGTTGACCGGGCTGTTCCTTCCACCTGGACATTCTCGGCTGCCCTCAGCCTGGATATCTTTTAAAGTTCCAGTTGAGCTTTATCGCCCTCATGGAGTTTCTCACACTGCACTGGAAGGGAAGATGGGTTGCCCCCTTTGTCCAGGGGGTCTTTAGAGCTTCCTGGCGTTATGGCAGGTCGAATCCCAAGGCTAGGCCCTGGATCTGTCTGGAGGGTAAAACGAGGAGCATAGGCATCTACACCCTCCCAGAGTGAGGCCTGGAGTCAGACTAGTTATGCTGGGCTCTGGGAAGGCCAGCGGAGATGACAGGAAGGAGCAGGGCTCTGAGGGACTCACATCCAAGGCCAGACCAGCCCCTCCCCTATTTCTTTAACCAGTGTGATTTGTCTGCTGTTCATTTACTACGCACCATTTAGAATATTTTGAGCCAGGAGAGCACCTTCTCTCTCCAGCCATTGCTGTTCTGGTTGTTCAGGGGCAGCTTTTTGAAAATGGGCAGAGCCCGGCTGTCCCAACCAGAGGGAGAGGGGCTTGGCGCTGACTCAGCCTCCCCTCCAGCCCGAGCCCCCTCTGGTGTCTGCACCGCCTTTACAAAAAGAGAGCTCCAAAGCAATAACAACACCCTGGGGGTGGTCACCAGGGGCCCCCTCAATGGTTTTCTTGTTTGTTTTGTGAAATCTCCATTCACCTCCTGGAGGGGTGGGCTGGGGTGGGGGCTGGAGCCCTGTTTCTTTGTATCATCGTTGTGAGCACGTGCCCTCTTCGAAGGGGCTCTGACCACTTGGCATGGGAACCACTGTCTGCCCTCACCAAGGGACGGTGGTTTGGGGTGGGGGAGTGACTTCATTATTAGCTCTGGGGAATCGTCAGACCCAGCCTGTTCCTGCTGCTGACTGACCCTTCTCCAGCAGCCCAAACACCACCATGGGGAAGCAGCAGAAAGCGTGGAGTTTGAGGGCCTTTTGGGGGCTTGAGTCTCTAGGGGGTGATGCTTTTTTCAATATCTGGGCCAGCGGTCACAGGCAGGGGTATCATGGGAGGGAGCCATCTCCATTTTCCTTCTCCAGAATTCTCTTCTAAAGGGGAAGGGCCTTTGGGACTATTCAGTGAAGTCCACTTTTATTTTGCAGATAGGAGACCAAGGCCCAGTGCAAGGGTGCCCTTGGGGTCACCTGTGAGTTCCGTGTCACCCTCAGCTGGGTCTCTTCCCAGCAGCTGTAGTGAAGTGGGCCCACCACTTTCCTCAGCACTTCCTCCTCCTTTCTCTTTGGAGCCTCCTAGTTGCTAAAGATGGGCAGGGCAAGTTGTAGCCCATCTGAGAATTTAGGCCCAGAAGCAGGAAGTGACTTGTCAGAGATCCCTCAACAAGTAAGTGATGGGGGCAGAACTAGGGCCTACGTTGCGGGTCTCCCCTTAACAGTCAGGAGACCGTTTCTCCAGGGAATGTCCCCCATGATATAAGCCCTGGGTGCACAGCCCTGCTTGATTCCATCCAGGTGGGTTAGTAACTCACTTTTTGGGCTTGGGTTTGGGGGAGGAGGTCGCCATAGAGACTTAGCTCATGTGAGGGTCTGGCCTTGCTGACTGAGGGGACACAGGATCTGGTCTAGGCCTCGCTGTCTGGGTGGAGGCTCCCGCAGACAGGCCATAAGCCTTCCAGGACCAACTGGACGGAGAGTTAAGAAACATGTTTCTGCCCAGGCTGTGAGGGAGTAGGGGTGACTGTGGAACCCCTCATCTGAAGGAAACCCATACACAAACCTTCAGGTATAGTAACATGTGACCTTCCTGTAGTGCTTCTCAAACGTTTTGTTTTCAAAGTTCTTGTACCTCAAGTGGACCATCTGACCCTCACAAGAGCTCCTGGGCAGTTGGTAGGGGCTGGGTGTCACCGCCTCCATTTTAAAGAGGACAAAGCTGAGGTCCTGGGAGGTGAAGGTGCTTTCCTAAGGCCCTGCTGTAAGTTAATGGCCGAGCTTGCTCCAGTGAGGAGGTAGAACAGATAGTTTGTTGTTAGGTGCCACTGAGTTGATTTTGACTCCACGTGACAGAGTAGAACTGCCTGAAAGGGTTTTCTAGGCTGTAATCTTTATGGGAGCAGATCACCAGGAATTTCTTCTGTGGAGCTGCTGGGTGGGCTTGAACCACCGACCTTTCAGTTAGCAGCCGAGTGCTTAACCGTTGCGCCACCAGGGCTCCTAGAGTGGATAGTTTAGGGGGTGGTTATGCACTTTACAAGCTGATTCATCATCCATTTCCTTCAACCAGGGAGCTCCTGGGCGCATTCCAGTGTTCCCAAACACCAGAAGCCCACTCCCGTTGGAAGCACAGCTGTTGCATCAAGCAAGGTCACCTGTATTTATTTATTAAGCAGCAGTGCTGTGCCAGGCCCCGGGGGACCAACACCTCCCTCCCCACCCCGTCCATAGTGACTCCTCTGAGAAGGCCATATCTGCACAGCGGCACCTCAGAGTGGATGGGAAGCTTCCATGTCCATGAGCTCATCTGACTCCCCGCCCCGTGAGGCAGGCTAACAGTGCCCGTTTTACTCGTAGTTTCTGTGAGGGTGAAATGAGGATTTGAACCCAGGGCCTTAGGTATCACATCTGGAACCCTTTCACTATGACTGCCTCCTGGGGGTGGTGGGAGGGCAGAACCCGAGTCCCCAGACTGGGGTCTCTCCATCCTTCCGTCTTTCCCTCGTTCCCTCTCTGGGAGTAGGAGCGTCCGGGCCTTTGGGGAGGGAGAGTTTCCGGGCCCCTGGGTTGGAGTGGGTCACGTTGCATTATGTTCATGACCATGTAGCTCATGTTGAAAATTAAAGTTTTTGGCTTTTCTAACCTGGCTTGCTCTGGCTTTGTGTTGACACAGTTCTACGAGGGACGCTAAGGGCATTTGGTCTTAAGGGTCTGAGTGCTAGAATGTCAGGTGCCTGCCATGGGCTTTATTAATTTCTCCTTTTGGTGTGGAGTTCATCCCAGGGAGCACTGCCAGAGATGCCCAGCAGGTGCAGGGCTCTGGATGAACCTGCAGGCCCAGTCATTTCACAGATGTGGAGACTGAGGCCCAGCGAGGGGGGTGTGATTCTCGAAGGCCATGCTGCTGGTGACTGGGGCTGGGAATAGAACCCAGATCTCACGGCTGCCAACAGAGGGCTTGTCCTACAGCCTCAGGCTGCGTCCAGCTGGCCCCAGTCCCCTGATGGGGGTGTCAGCAAGGTCCCCCTCATCCCTAGTTGGGCTGGCATCAGTTTTAAGGAGGGGAGGGACAGGGTTGTACACTGGCCAATTCCATGATACTCGACAGGCAAGGAGAATGACGGACCATTTCAACAGTGTGGGGACTTGCCCACCTGGATTGTAGACTCTCCCCTCCAGGCTCTGATCCCTGGGCTTCTCAAACAGTGTGAGCATCTGGCCTCACTGATAGCATTCCAGTGTTTAAAGTTGTACATTTCCCCTACATGTGGAAAGACAGCCTCTTCCCACAACAGCCATCTGTTTCCGCTGGGGAGGGCCAGCTCGAGGGCCGTGTGGGCCTGTTCAGAGCCTCTCCTAGTGCTGATGCTCCCCCTCCCCTTCCCAAACAATTTGGACTACAAGCGACTTGCACCTACAGGGTAACTTCACAGTCTTGCTTGTGCTGATGATGCAACTTAATTTTTGGAGAGGAGGGAGGGGGCCAGCCACAGAAGGGAATGCGAGACTGCTCGTGGCAGAAGACAGCATGGAGGCCATGGTGCCTCACTCCGCTCCAAGCTGGGGAGGGTGCACTAATAGGGGAACCCAGACCCGCCTATTCCAGGTTGGAACCCCCGCCCAGGCGGGGCTGTCATATGGACTTCCGCCTGACCAGGGGCCTGCCTGCCCTGCCGCTCAAGGCTCTGGGGCTCGAGGGGGGCGAGAAACCCAGATTGTCGCGGGCCCACATCTCCAGCTGGTGGATGCGATAAGAGATGGAGGTGGGGCCCCCGGGAAGGCCTGGGCGGCCGGCCAGGGAGGGGCCGCTGGTCTCGGGCGCCCCCAGGCGGAGCGGCCTGGCGTGACGGGCTGCGCACTGCGGCACGTCGGTGCTGGCCGCGAGGAAGCGCAGGACCACCAGGTTGAGGAAGGCGCCGATGACCGTAAGCCCCAAGAGGATATAGAGGAAGCTGAAGGCCACATACGGCGGCTTCCTCTGCAGCGCCTCATCGCTCTGCAGCGCCACGAAGTCGCCGAAGCCGATGGTGGTGAGGGTGATGAAGCAGTAGTAGTAGGCGTGGAAGAAGGTCCAGCCCTCGAAGTGCGCGAAGGCGGCGGCCCCGAGGGCCAGGGTAGCCGCGCACACCAGCAGCCCGGCCACCACCATGTTCTCAGTGGACACGCGCGGCCGCCGCAGGCGCAGGCAGCGCTTGGCCGCCAGCAGGAGGCGCCGCACCAGCGCATTCAGCCTCTCGCCCAGGCTCTGGAAGGTGACCAGCGTCAGCGGTATGCCCAGGAGCGCATAGAACATGCAGAAGACCTTGCCCGAGTCAGTGCCCGGCGCGGCGTGGCCGTACCCTGTGCAGGGAGAGCGGACGGGAGGGTTGTGAGCGCCCAGATCCATCCAACAACGGTCTTCCCCGTAGCCTTCCTGGCCGGTCCCCTCTCCATCCCCCAGAGCCCTAGAAACCGTCTTAAAAATCTAGTGCTAACCAGGCCATTCCCGAGCTTTAAAACCTCGCGTGATTATTCGGAATTGCCCCAAATTGGAAACAACTGGGGAATGGATAAGCAACCTATGGCATATCCATACATGGAATTCGTTCCAGCAATAAAAAGGAACAGACTACAGTTATGCCCAGCAACACAATATGTGTCTCAAGCGCATTAATGCTGAGTGAAAGAAGCTATGCTCAAAAGGTTACATTACATACGGCGTGGATCCATTTAGATGGCATTCTGGAAACCATAGGGACGGAGAACAGATCTGTGATTGCCAGTTGTTGGGGCTGGCCCTAAAATGGGGCATGGCAGAATTTGGGAGAGTGATGGAAATGTTCTATGTCTTGATCTAGAAGGTGGTTACACGGAAGGTATGCACTTGTTAAAACCTGCATAAGTGAACCCTGAAAATGGGTGAATTTTAATTTTCTGTAAATTATGCCTGGAGTCCCTGGGTGGTGCAAATGGTTAATGCACTTGTTGCTAACTGAAAGGCTGGCAGGTTCGATCCACCCAGAGGTACCCCAGAAAAAAGGCCTGGTGATCTACTTCCAAAAAATCAGCCATTGGAAACCCTATGGAACACAGTTCTACTCTGATACACATGGGGTTGCCATGAATCAGAGTCAGCTGGACACTTTTTCCCCCTCATTGCCTCTCAGTGCCTCTCTTCTACCCATGCACAGCTCAAGCTCTGGGGCCCTGGTGCCTGGCTCTCTGCAAAGCTAGTTTAGCCAGCCGGGACCACAGAGCAAGAGCTGGCTCCCCCATGAGGCCAGAAAAGTCAAAACTTTTCTGCTTCCACTCTTAGTTCCTTTCCTAAGGCTCCCAGATGCATGTCAGAGGGCAACAACCAGGAGAGGAGACCAAACCCAAGTGAGAAGCCCCCAAAGAATGTGGAGGAAGACAGAAGGGATGGATGGGGTCTCGTGCCACTGGGCACAGTGACAGGGAAGGTCTCTCAGGCTTAAGGGAGCAAAGGGGTCCTGCTAAGCCAAGATAGGGAAGCAGGGGTGCTCCCGTAGGAGGGGGCAAAAGGGCTGAATGGGAGCTGGGCCCACAGTTGGCAAATAATGAATTATCATTATTACTAATTAATAATTATAATAGTGCCTATTCAGACTCACGCACTATGCCATTTTACATGCATGACCTCATTTAAACCCGGCAACTACCGGTGATGTAGGAAAAATTACATTTTAAAGTTAAGGAAACCAGAGCTCACAGAGGTACAATCAGTGGCCTGAGAGGCAGGAGGTGCAGAGGTGAGAACAGAACTCAGGTCTCTGTAACTGCACAACTGGAGCTTTTAACTCCACTGCTAAACCCACAGTTCACATTCACTGCAAGAAACTTTCTCAAAGGCACGGGCTCTGAGGGGGGCTGTCCGAGCCCAACGGGGCACCTGGACATCTGAAACTGTGGTCTGGGGAGTAGCTGGCACCCAGCTTGGCACCCTACAGAGCCTGATTCTCCCCCTTCCTGCTTCGGTGGCTTAGGCTCCCAGGTATCAGCCAGACGGTAGCCATGGCAACAGCTGGCGGTCCAGATGCTGCAGAGGAACTGCTCTGGATCCCGGATGGCGAGGTCCAAAGCTTGTGGTAATCAGTCATTCCTCCAACAAATATTTATTGAACGTCTACTGTGAGCGAGGCATTGGCCATACAGCGGTGAATAAGATGGGCGGCTCTCATGGAGTAACCATAATTATAACACAAAAATCAATCTATGTGTCAGGCCTGTGCTAAACCTTCTGTATGTATTATCTCCTTGGTCCTCAACACCGCCCTGGGATAGCGCCTATTAGCACCCTTATTTAACAGAGAAAACTGAGGCTCAGAGAGGTTAAATAACTTGTCTAAGGTCACACAGCGAGTGTAATGCAGTTGGGCAAGGAAACACTCCAGCAGCTTGAGCTTCCAGCCCCACTTCATCTGTCTCCCAGCCCCTGGGGGCGTTTTCTGAGCCACTATTGAGTGCCAGCCTCTTGGCAACACGAGTGACTGACTCCTCTCGGCCCTGCCTGCGGGGGATGAGATCCTCAATCGGCAGAGGGAGGCAAGTGAGGCTTGGTGAGCTGAAACGACTTGTCCAAGGTCACTCAGCTGGGGAGGGGCAGAGATGGGATTCAAACCCAGAGGCACTCGGGCCGACTCGGGACGGAGCGAGCGCAACGGGGAGGCGCGCGGGGCCGCTCACCGATGGTGGTGATGACCGTGATAGCGAAGTAGAAGGAGCCGGCGAACTTCCACTGGGGACCGGCGCGGTGCGGTTCGCCCTGCAGCGCCAGGCGCTCGAGCTCCCGGTAGTCCTCGGCCGAGAAGCCGTACTTCCTCCGGAACTCGCTCCGCTTCTGGGCCAGCAGCCGCTTGCGGCCGCTTTCCGCCTCGGACTCGAGAGCGTCGAAGACGGCGGCGCCCACCAGCAAGTACGAAAAAATGCACAGGATGAGTGCGGCCGTGCGCACGTTCTGCTTCCTCATGGCGATGCCCTGCGCCCCGTTCCCCGGCTGGCGGCCGCGGGGGTCGCCCGGGCGCCAATCCTGTCCATGCGCCCCGACGGCCGGCGAACACCCTAAGCCGCCGACGCCCGCTCCCTCAGCACCCCGCGCGCGCTCCGCCTCCCACGCCCGGACCAGGCGGAGGAGTGTGAGGGCTGGGGTGGCGCGGCGTCCGGGACCCAGAGGCGGGGCCTCGGCAGGGACCAGCTCGGAGTGACTGGAGGAGAGTGGCGGGGGCTCCCAGCGGCTGGCTGTTTCCCTGTCGTCCTCATCCCCATTCATATCTGCCTTTGTTTACCGGGTGGCGCCCTGGGGCTAATGTGTCTGCAAACAGTGACATCTGGAGCGCAGCGCCCAAAGCCCAGGTCTGCAGAAGTCCTGTCCCCACCACTAGTTCGCCCTGTGACTTTGGGTAAGTCATTCATTCATTAATTCAGTCAGCCAGTCAGTCAGTCATCCAACAAATAGTTCCCAAGCACCTACTGGGGAGGTTCCTGGTGTAAATATGCTGATATCCTAGTCAGGGGGGTTGGCCAGTGACTCCTGAACAAACCAAAAATAAGAAAATTTAAGAGGAATGTGATGAAGAAGGAAAACAGATTCTGAGGGGAAGGCGGAGTACAGCCAGCTAATGTGACCAGTAAGCCTCTCCAAAGAGTGACTTCGAGGAGAGAGAGGGTATCCAGGCGGCAGGTACAAATCCTTGAGCAGAAGGGACTTTGGTTGGCAGCCAGGAGCAACAAGGAAGCAGTGTGGCTGGGGCCGAGAGAATTGGGATGGGGGTTAGGGAAAGGCAGTTAGGCAGGGGCGACCTTACACAGGATCTTATAGGCCAGAGGTTTTATTCTTTAGTGAAATTGAAAGCCATGGAAAGTTTGTAAGCAGAAAAAAAAAAAAGACCACGGATCAGGTTCACATTTTTCAAAAGAGCGTTCTAGCTGTCAAAGGGATGTGGCTCAGAATGGAGGAGGAGCGCCAGTTCGCAGACCATTGTCTCTGAGTGAGTGCTGAGGGTGGCCTGGAGGGGGCGTGGCATTGGAGATGGAGAGGAACAGGTGGATCTGAGATACTGGTGGGAGCGGAAGCTGGGCCCACAGCTGGACCACGTTTCCCAGCCTCCTTTGCACATAGGATGCCCACGTGATGAGCTCTAGCCAATGGAATGTGTGCAGAAGTGATGGGTGCCCCTTCCAGGCCTAGCGCATAGAACTTTCCACACACCATCCTCCACCTCTCTTTCCCCCACCTCCAGGCTGAAGAGACATACCTAAAGTCTTTAGAAAAGGGCAGAGCCATAAGGTGGAAGGTGCCTGGGAACCTGAATGACACATGCAAGGATGCCCCTGTGGAATTTCTGTTGTCTTAAGCCACTGAGATACGGGGGCAAGCTGTTACAGCAGCTAGCATTACCCTAATACACGGAGCAACAGGACTTGCTGGTGGATTGAACGTGAGAGCCAAGGAGAAGACTCAAGTATGACTTCTGGGTCTCAGGCCTGAGCAGCTGAGTGCTTGGGGATGCCTTCTATCGACCTCACTCCCAGAGGAATCCACTTCCGCCCCCAGTGTTACACAGGTGATACTCTTTTCAGAGTCCTAGGTGGGCCTGCATAGAGACTGGGCAGAGCAACAGGCAGCCTCTCTCTGGGGTCATCCCTCCTTCTGCAGCTGCCTGGAGCCTCCAACCTTCTGTGTCTCTGCTGCAGCCTTGGCTTGCATCATCTGCCCCCCAACAACTGCTCCAGGCTCCCTCACCAAAGCCCCTCTGCATTTTTTTTTTTTTTGCTCCAGGTACACTAAACTTTCAGTTCCTGACATAAACACTTGCTTCGCTGGAACGGTCCTCTTACATCCCACTCAATACCACTACCAGTTGCCATCAAATTGATTCTGATTCATCGCGACCCCATGTGTGTCAGAGTAGAACTGTGCTACGGAGGGTTTTCAATGGCTGATTTTTTGGAAATAGATAGCCAGGCCTTTCTTCTGAGGTGCTTCTGGATGGACTCAAACCTCCAACCTTTTAGTTAGCAGTCAAGTGCATTAAATGTTTGTACCACCCAGGGATTCCTCCCATTAAATAGCCAGCAGTATTGAGTATCTTGGAACCCCTGAGTGGCGCAAACGATTAAGCACTCAACTACTAGCTGAGAGGTTGGTGATTTGAACCCACCCAGAGGAGACTCTGAAGACAGGCCTGGCGATCTGTTTCTGGACGTTCACAGCCTTGAAAACCCTATAGAACAGTTCTATTCTGTAACACATGGGGTCGCCATGAGTCAGAATCAACACAACTTACAACAACAACATTGAGTGTCTGCCAAGGCCAGCACCAGTTGAAGTAGGTACGTTACATGTGTGGATACATTTAATTATCACAGCACCCTTTTGCAGTAGGTATAGCTGGGTGGTACACTGTTCATTCTTCAGCTCTCAGCTTACTGGGACATCTCTTTCCTGACCTCCCTCCTCTTGCTCCTGGGGGCCTCTGGGCTCCTGCCATCTTGTACTCCCCCCACTGCATTGTGACTGTCACATTCCCTGTCTGTGTCCCCCACGTGTCTGTGAGCTGCCTGAAGATGGGGATCCAGTCTTGGCCACTTCTCTGTCCCCAGCACCTGGGCCTGGCACAGACCACACACCCAGTGACCATTTGTGACAAAGAAGCAGCAGTAACGTGTCAAGATTAAGAGTGTAGGCTCTGTACCCAGACTGCCTGGGTTCATATCGCACTTCTGTTGCTTACCAGCTGTGTGTGCTTGGGATGCCTCAGTGTCTCCATCAGTAAAATGGGGCTAAAACCCATTCCTACCTTATAGTGTGGTTGTGGTAGGCAGAATAAAAAAATAAACCAAACTCATTGCCATAGAGTCAATTCTGACTCATAGCGACTCTATAGACAGAGTAGAACTGCCCTAAAGAGTTTCCAAGGTTGTAATCTTTACGGAAGCAGACTGCCATATCTTTCTCCTTCAGAGCAGCTGGTAAATTCAAACTACCAGCACTGAGTGCTCAACCAGTGCACCACCAGTGCTCCTAAATGGCCCCCTAAAAATGTCCACATCCTAATCCCTCAGACCTCTGAATACGTTCTGTTACATGGCAAAGGGGGATTAAGTTTGCAGATGGAATTAAGGTTGCAAATCAACTGACTAGAAGCCCTGGTGGTGCAATGGTTAAGCGCTCAGTTGCTAACCAAAAGGTTGGCTGTTTGAACTCACCAGCAGCTCCACAGGAGAAGAGAGGGCGATCTGCGCCCATAAAAATTACAGCCTAGGAAATCCCATGGGGCAGTTCTGCCCTGTCCCATAGGGTCACTATGAGTCAGAATCGGCTCGACAGCACACGACATCAACTGACTTTAAGTTAAAAAGATTATCCTGGATTATCCAGGTGGGTCCAATGGAATCACCAAAAACTCCCACCAAACTCGTTGCTGTCTAGTCAATTCCGACTCATGGTGACCCTATGTGTTATAGAGCAGAACTGCACCATGGGGTTTGCTTGGCTGTAATCTTTACAGAACAGCCCTGGTGGCACCGTGGTTAAAGTGCTTGACTGCTAACCAAAAGGTCCGTGGTTTGAACCTACCAGCTGCTCCTTGGGAGAAAGATGTGGCAGTCTGCTTTTGTAAAGACTTATGGCCTTGGAAACCCTATGGGGGCAGTTCTACTCAGTCCCATAGGCCCACTATGAGTCAGAATCAACTCAACAGCAGTGGGTTTGGTTTTTGGTTTGGGAATGGAGCCACTGGGTGGGTTTGAACTGTCAACGTTTTTTAGGTTAGTAGTCGAGCGCAAACCGTTTGCACCACCCAGGGACCATTACAAGGGTCCTTAAAAGTAGAAGAGGGGGGCAGGAGAGGGAGAATCAGAGATGGAGGAAGGGGTCTTGAGTCAAAGAGAGCAAACTGTCTCTAGAATCTGGAAAAAGCAAAGAAATGGATTCTTCCCTAGGGCCTCCAGAAAGGCACACAGAACCACTGACACCTTGATTTTAGCCCAGTGAGATCTGCATCAGACTTACACCCTACAGAACTGGAAGATGATAAACGTGTTTTTAATCCACTCGGTTTATGGGAGTTTGTTACAGCTGCAATAGGAAACAGATACAGGGGTCGCAAGAATTAAATGAGTCGAGATGTGACGCCCGAGAGTAAGGCCAGGCCCTGGGGACTTGGTCATAGTGAGTGAGTGCCCAGGCCTTTAGGGACCTGCCCCACTCACTTCGCAGTGGAAAACCAGGGCCTGGTGCCTGGTAGAGGGGCCTTGGGTCCCTCCTTCCCCGAGAGCTAGAGGCAGCTCAGTGGCCCAGAAGCAGGGCGCGGCAGCCAGGGTGTGCGCTCTGCTGCCTCAGCCTTATTTTTAGCAACAGCATCAGCAAGTTCGATTTTCTGATTCCTGCTCGGACTTCGGAGGAGCAGAACCCAGGATAAAGTCTCAGGGTGGGGGTGGGGTGGATGCTAGGAACTGGGAGGGGGCACGCATGACCTGCAGCCCGAGAAAGGCCTGAGAAGAGATGGCTGGGGCAGTTGGGGAGAGGAGCAGGGAGACTTGTTCTCAGGGGAAGGGTGGGGCCCCAGTCAGGGAAGCCTTAATGAGGTCCTGGTTTTGAACACAGCTGCCAAGCATGGTGGTTCTGGAGTCAGTGAGACCTGGGTTCAAATCCCCACTCCCTCACTTTCTAGCTGGGTGGCCCGGGACAGGTTACTTCTACTTCTCTGTGCCTCAGTTTTTCCATCTGAGAAACGGGGATGATAATGGTGCCCACCCCGTAGGACCATGTCGAGGATTACAAAAGATATTATGTGTCACTTTGCAGGGCACAGTAGCTGATAGCTGGTTTTCCTCCCTTTTTACAATTGACTGTCTGCCTGTAGACGTGAGTCTTTTTCCAGAAACAGGGGGAAAGCTAAAATGATCGAGCACCTGTGTGTGCCGGCCATAGTCGCAGACGTGACTGATGGACTCCTCCCTTTATAG